AGAGAGAGAGAGAGAGAGAGAGAGAGAGAGAGAGAGAGAGAGAGAGAGAGAGAGAGAGAGAGAGAGAGAAACAGAATTTAAAAGAGATTGTATTGAAAGGAGTTTGTGACAAAATACAAAAAGGAGACGCCATCAGCGAGCGTTGCTGTGAGCCACGGCGTTGCCGTGGCGGGTTCCACTTGTTTTTTTAATTTTGTAAGGGCGGTGGGCCTGGTGGCTCAACTGCAGTACAGTTCTCAAGTGAAGATCATTGAGATCATTTTGTTGGAGTAAAGCTGGCAGAAAAAAGGAAAAGAAAAACGAAACAAAAAGAAACAGATAAGAAACCTGGGCTACCAGCCGGGCCACCCGGGTTACCTTGTTTGCTGGGCAGCCCGGCTGTGCAAGAACTACGGAAAAGCCCAGCAAAAAAAAAAAAAAAACCGAAAAAGTTCAAAAAATCGGAAAATCCGACAAAAACACTATGCGTCAGTATGTGATGCATAAAAATAAACTGAACAACTTTTTCCTCAGGTTCACATCGAAATTCTTTACCAAATCTAATTAAAAAAGAAAAAAACTAAAAAAATTGTTTTTTAAACTTTTTTTTTTTTTTTTTTTTGCCCCGGGCCACTCTGGTACCTTAGTAAGAAACGGTTCAAAGCTCAAACGGGACCAAATATATAAATTAAATCACCCCCACAGAAGAAGTTCAGAAACTGACCAGTCCATAATTTGCAGCTGCGAAAGAGAATTCTGGCGCCAGCTGCCATGCTGTCTTGTAGTCTACTACAGCGTCATCCCACTTCCCAAGAGCACCCTGAAAAGTTGGAAACCCATACATCGTAGACCACACAGCAAGGCCACGATTGAAAATCTGAACATATGAACCAAACCTTAAACAAATTCCATGCCATCCTTGAACAAAGCACTCTCTAGATCTGAAATATCCCCCTCACTCGGTGCTGCAATCAGACTTCGTTAGTAAAGCACTCTCAACTCAACCTTCTTCTTCTTCTTCTTCTTCTTCTTCTTCTCCTTCTCCTTCTCCTCCTCCTCCTCTAGCACGCTCAACTCAACCACCTTCTTCTTCTTCTTCTTCTTCTTCTTCTTCTTCTTCTTCTTCTTCTTCTCCTCCTCCTCCTCCTCCTCCTC